ACCAGACTTATCTAAATCCTTCCTCAGCTGAGCTGCAATATTTGGATGTTTGTTGAATGCCCTCTTTTCGCTTCAGTCCTAAAAGCAGAACGTGTATTTTATCAGCTTTTTAAAAATGTTCAATCAAACCTGGATACTGTCGATCCCCATCTTTGCATGTCACAGATAATTCATTTGCTGTGCTGACACCCAAATCTGCTCAAAATCCTAGCTAGGATATTCAACCACAATTTAACAGCTAGTATTATTGATAGAGATCTAACAGGAATGAATATTAAAGCAAAAGAATCCCAGCTACTGCCCCAGACTACATAATTAAATCAGTGTAAATGACGAGAAAGCCAGATCAACAGAAAACAAAACGGAGAAAAAAAAGCCTATGCTATCCAACCACCATGTGATATGACTAACACAGTACACCCGCAGTGATGTGTGTGGTTGTGTTTTTTTTCTTGTACTGAATATTAATGTCTAGCAACACCCCACACAACCTAGAAACACCAATGCTTGGTAATTTAAAAAATCATTTTAATCCTAACAAGTTTCAACCTCCGATTGTGATTGGCCATTGCTGTGCTGACAACACCACAGTGAAACCGAACCTTAGAGCCAAAAACACGAGAGAGAGACAGAGAAGAAGAAGGAGAGAGAGGGAGAGGGGTCTGAAGAGTCCTCTGCAATGCAAGAAAAAAGAGCCTCAACTTGAAACCCGCTCTAAACACTACTCCAGACCGGAAAACAAACCATGAGTGACAAACTACAAATGACAGTGCGACCGTGAAAAGCCATTTTTTTTCTCCAGGACCTGCCCTGAAAGAGCAAGACAGACCGTCAAAAGGAGCCGTACTGCATTCTTACAGGTAAGGTTTAGGGTATAGGAGTCCGGTGTGGGCGGCGAGCTGTCGTCATCAGTATGAGGTACTGTACTGGCTGTGGGGAGGCTTGTTGAAAAGGCCTCAGGCATTGTGTGAGTTTGATAGACCTTTTTGATTATTTGTATTTTTAAGCACTGTTAAGTCTGTGTTCACTGGGACAAAAAATGATCCACCTCATCTGATGACAAAAGTCTGCCCTCGGAAAAAATAAAATAAAAGTCTAATTCAGCTCTCAACAGTTACAAGAACTCCAAAGACAAACACAAACTTTCACTAAACCATTCATTTAATTCTTTTTTTTCTTTTCTTTTTTTTTTGCCCTACATTGGTTTTAGTAACTAAAGTCAGCCTTGAATTCTGAGAGGTAATTCTGAAATTTACAGCACAACAAAACAAGAAAAATAATAATCGGTAGATCGATGAGAAAACCATTTAGAGGTCATTTTTGAGGGAAGCTGTGACGCTCTAAACTTCTCCCACCATCTGTCACAATGCAGGTGCAGACTTGTAAGTGTTCTAGAGAGACAGAATTTATGCGTGACTCTATTGTACATGTTTACAGATATACAGTTATCTTGTCGTACACAGTGACATCTCAACGACTAGACTAGAGTTGTTCTACATTCTACACAGAAGACGAGGGTTTTACACCATGTTCAAAAGTCTTGTCAGTGTATTTTTGCAGCTTTGTGTTGTTCTTCAAATCAACCCCAGAGTACTAACAGAGCTGGTAAAGATCGGGTTGGGTTATTAAAAAATTTGTATATATTTTTTTTTTACACAAGTGAATAAACTTCATTTAGGTTTAAAGTCTAAAAAAACCTGGAGGTACAGTTGGGAAAAAACAGGAGGTACAGTTGGTTAGTTTTTTCTGTATTCTTTTTTCTTTCTTTGATGGTGAAATCAGTACACAACATCCACATTCAGAACCACTTCGGGCAGGTATGTACCCCTAAGATCCTGCTCTTCATTCCTTTCTAGCAATAAAAATTGACTTTGAAATCCTTTGACTGTTTATTTAAGAGGTTTTATGGTGCCCAGGCAGAGAGAGTCCACCAAAGTTCACTACGATTTTGACAAAGTTTCCCTAGTCGGCTGGACCTGAAGAGTTTAGAGCTTACTTTTAGATCTTGTTCTTTTTTTTTTGTTTTCATTAAAAAAGAAAATTAAAAACGCTCAAAATGATCAGTTAACAAGGCATACAAAATGTGGAAAAAAGGGGAAATGAAAGATTGGACTGAGGTACCCTGAAGCCTGAGGTAGATCACAATACTGACATGCGCACTGTTCACATCCTGACCAATGTTAATGCGTTGGTTCACTTTACTGTTCTCCTATTTTTTCAGGTTTTTCTTTATATTATTATTCATAGTCTAGTTTTCAAGAAAATAAACACTTCCCTTCAAAATAATATGGCAGTGTCCCACTGAGGAAAAAAGAAAAGGACTTTGTTTCTTTTTGTTTCTTGTCAATAGCTCTCATCACAAAATAGGAAAAAAATAGATTCATAAATATTACTCTCTCTTTTTATATATATATACACACACACACATGCATGCACACTCACTCACACACGTACACACACACGGAGGAAGCTGTGCGTATTGGCAATAACCTTGCGTCTGGAAGATGAAGCTGATGGATGGGTGATTTTTTTTCTGACAGGTGACAAAATAAGGCAACAAGCTCCCATGGTCTCCAAAGTAACGCACAGAGGGGACACCAGGACCTGCGTGTCCAGCGTGCTCGCACAGCGGTCGGCCAGCTCTCCAAATAAAAAGCACGAAAAGACAAAAAAGAAAAAGAAAAGAAAAAAAAAGAGAGAGAGAGTGAGAATGACAATCTGTGTGTCTGTGCCTCTGACCAGGCCTCGCTGGACATGGCAGGGTTGACAGTTTTCTAAAAAAGGCTGCATATCGTACATTCACAGCTGTCATGCCGTTTTTAGAAAGCTCCCTGACGAGAGAGGGTTAAAGCCAAATACGGCTGCGGTTCACGTTTGCAGTTGTGTGTGCACTTCAGGTCATATAGTACCTGCCCATTAAATCCCACCCACGAACCCAAAAATGTTTCCTCACTACCTCTCCACACACAATTATGCACCCTCCCGCCCGCCCGTCCCGCCCCTGTCACCTGTCCTGGCCCTCATGAAGTCCTCATAAGGCAGAGTGCTGTGTCGGTGCGCTTTCACAATGAGGGGTTGCTTGCTAACAAGCAAAGGTGCACCAATTTGTATTTTTTTTAAGACGTCAATTTTTGCTCTGACCGTCGAGGAGGATGCCTTCAAAGACACCTTTTTTTTTTAGTTTTCACATCAGGACAAGTATGAATGTAGATATATTCTAGTGTACAGAACAGGATAGTGATACCAGATTACTGATACAAATAAATCCCTCTGTTGCGTTTAACCTCTGCTGAGCGAAAGTGGCAGTCTCTTGGATGTTGTCAAAAGGCTACAGAGAAAAAAAGAGATACTTGACAACACATATTTTCATCCTATTTAAACAACCATGATGCCAGATGAGAGAGAGTGATGAGAAAGTGAAGCAGAAAAGAAAGAAAAGGGGAAAAAAAAACACAAACAAGTGTAGCGTCAGGTATGAATGGTGAGAGATGTTTCAAAGGGACGTTATCTTTTGCGTTGGCACACACACAGGCTTGTTGCAAAGACTCATTCACCATATTTACTTATAGGGGTTTTTTTCTTTCTTGATTTCAGTGGCCTATATTGGGAACAAAAAAAAAAACGGAAACTGCTTTATTTGGCTGCAACAGCCTGATCAATCTCTGGAACAAGCAAAATGTTCAAACTACACCAAGTGGAACTGTCATTTGGATAGAAAAATAACAGTGCATACTCTCAGTGTGTATTAATATACTCTCTACTCTGTATCAAGACTGCTAATGATATTTAATCTTGCAATCTTTAATATCCCTCACTCTTGTGAGAGGTGTCCATTGTCACTCGCTCTTATTCTAACCCAAAATACCAATCATAATGCCTCATATACGCTCATGTTAATACAGTTTCTTTATCCATTTGTTAGGCCTATGTTAGTCCAACTAAAGAGATAACGTTATGCAGGGCAACATACTACTTCCATTTGACCGTTTTAACTGTAAAGAAAACAGTTCCCCAAATTCTCTGCCATTTTTCTGCCTTACTTTAAGATTATTATTTTTTTTTTTGGTCTTTTTCCTATTTTCTATCAGTACAGGTTTTTCTCCCACTCCATCTGCTCTCACAGGGCTGGCAGTGCACACAATGCCCTCAGCCTTTGGCTCTCACGTGTTTCCCTCCTGGTGAAGTTCTTTGGTTTTGATCCCGGTGCTGCTGGTCTGCCCTGCATGTCCCCCTTGGCCTTGGCCTTTTTGTCTGGGTAGGCCTCTGTCTGTTTGGGAGGGCTACATTCATTGGCTGGTGCCCGCTGGAGCCGCCCGGCTGGTCACTTGGAGTGGTGCGGTGACACGGTGGCGCCCTGCTGGTGCTTCTGTTCCTGCTGTTTGACCTGCTGAATGATCTCCCGGATCTTTCTCTGTGCAGTCTGTTGGAGAGAAAACGCATCCAGGACCAGTTCTTAATTAATGCATGACAATGTGTCAATGTGATATAAGATTATGCTGAACAATGTGAAAAATGAAACATTTTAATTCAATTTAGTCAAGAAGAGGGGGTTTTACATCAGGGGGAAAAAATCTACATTTGTTTGAATGTTCCTTCTGTAATGATTGATTGAATTAATACATGCTTGAGCTGTACTGTGAATTGTGCTAAAAACAAAGAAATATGCCAAATTTGTCTTCATCCACAAGTCCATCATCGTTGGATAGAGTTGTTTATTATTTCATGAAGAAGGCTCTGCTGATATGTGAAATACGAGAAAGCCAGCAGAAGTCTAATTAGCCTCAATAACAAACACCTTTGGCTATGATAGGAACATAATACACATTGATACAAAACTAAAGAGAGATAATCACAGGTACAGGTAAGAAGTATGAATGTAAAAAAAAAACAGCTTGGGGCACACTGGTGGCACAATGGTTAGGGCGCGCGTCCCATGTATTGAAACTCTCATCTCGAGCGGTAGGCCCGGGTTCACTTCCACCCGTGGCCCCTTTCCGCATGTCATTCCCCGCTCTCTCTCTCCCTGGTTTCCAACTCTATCCACTGTCCTCTCTCTGCATTAAAGGCACAAAAAGCCCAAAATAAATCTTTAAAAAATAAATAACAGCTCTACTGCATAATGACAATTTAAAAAAAGAGTGAGAGAGAAAAAAAAAGAAACGCCCCCAAAAAAGGATCAGCTAAGAAAGGCATCTAAGATGTACAGAGAGATGTTGCCACATTTCCACAGTTGCCTCTTTAGCCCCATGTGTTCAGACTGTATGTAGTTCCAGGTATACAAATTGAGGGCAACCATCCCTCAGAATCTGGCCACCGGGGGGCATTCCCACAACATTATAAACATTAATAGTTATTGTACATTATTGTATTGGCTACATCATATCTGGTAGGGTACATGTATTTGATAAGAGGCCAAATAACTGACAGCAGACGTGTTAGTCGACAAGTTATTATTATTTTTTATTACCTGGCTGGCAAAGAAATGCCCATTGATTTTCACAAAGACCTCATCGTTCTCGTCTGGAGTTTGGTCCCGCGGCACGATGACCTCAGCGCTTGTTAGATTCTGCAGTTCATTTACCTGAAAAAAAAAAAAAAAAGACTGCTTGTAAGCGGATTGTAATTTCCCTTCCAGCCTTTACTTAGAAAACACACAAACATAACTCCCTAACATCACACAAAGGTGCTGTGTGATTCACTGTAATCACTGGTGTAACTAAGGAAATGCAACTGGCTTTAACTCAGTTCCACTTACTGTCTTGCCGCCTTTGCCGATGACCCTGCCGGCTGCGGAGGAGGGAACCTTGATGTGTGTCTCCAGTTTGACCTCCTCCTTCGCTAAGAAGAAGTTCTCCTCTTTCAGCTTCCCAAATATCCGACCTTGGGCCTGGAATAGAGAGGAGGGTATGAGGCAAGGAAAGACTGGGGAAATGGGGGAGGGGGGGGGGACACAGTGGTCCACTTCTGTTTACTACAATACAGGACATATTAAATAATCGTTACCACGTTACATACAGCTGAAATATGAAATCATTACTTTTTGATGCATTTTTTATGAGCACATTTCTGGGTATTTTTTTTTTTTTTTTTTTTTTTACCTTAAACTGAGCCTCTGGGGTTCCAGTAACAATAACCATCCTTTCAGTGGCATCTGGACACTCAGCTGGGGCAATCTGACACACAAACAATCATGTTATGGCGACAAATATGGAGAAAAAAGAGGCTCTAAAGCTGCTCTGTTATCAGTTCATTCATAAAAGCGAGGTTTAGCTGAAAAGTCTGCCGACTGTTACGACAAAGTGAATCCTCTTCAATTATCATGAACACACCGAGCAGCCGTCCCATCTATTTAGAGCCTTAGGGGCTTTCTAAAATTCTCTCCTTGCTAGTCATCCCCCTTTTTTGTTGTTTGTTTTTTTTTGACCATGAATAACTAACATCCTCAACTGTGGTCCATGCAAGGCTGCTGACTCAGCAAACATGGACATCAAACCTGATTACTTCACCTCAACAATCAGTGAGAAGATCTGAAACATGCAGTTTGTTTGTGATGCCTACCCACCCATGACACACACTTTAACCCTCTTATTTCCCCTGAAGTAATTGAAGTCAGCTCTGTATTGACAGTGATAAACCTACCTTGATGGAGGCACCAGCGAAGTGGGCCAGTTGTTTGATATGCTGGCCCTTCTTGCCGATCAGGGCCCCCACTGCCTGAGTTGGAATAAAGAGGTAGACGACCTCCTGTTCTTGAGCCTGTTGCTGAAAAAGACCAAAAAATATTTTTAACCACAAATGAACTGAAACACTTCTGCTGACAGTGACTGAAAAAAAAAAACAATCAGAACGGCTTAAAATAGTTTGAAATATCTGAATTTGAATAGACAGATACTTGAGGAGCAGCCAACACAATGACAGCACATGCAAAGGGAAGCTAAATTGAGCTCTCTTCAAGGGTTTTCTCTTTGAGTAAACATCCCGCTCTGGCTGCATCTGAGCGGAAACTTTCCTATTAAGGCTGATGGTTGCCCCGTGTCTTTTTTTCTTAGCCTTGTACTGCTCATGTACTCCAGATTTATAAAGTGAATTTTCACGAGCCACAGGGCAACTCAGGGCTGAAAAGAACTGCCTTCCTTAAATAACTGTGCTTTTGGGTGACTGGGAGATGGTACAGAGAAATGCCAGACTTGCTGGTTAACATACAGAAAGGTAATCATGTTCTGATACTTATGCATCCTCTCTTTAAATCTGTTTTATTCTCTAGAAGTCCAGTCCACATGTAACAAAAGTCACTTGCTCAGAGAGGCTTTTATCAGCACAAACAGATTAGAAAATGGATGCTTTGTCTGAGGGCTTTGCATGAAGAAAGCTATTAGCCCAAAACAATTACAGTAATTATTTGGCATCAGGAAATAACAACACAAATTTGTGGCTAATTCTCTTATCGCCATGGCAACACTGACTGTAGTGCAAATTTGAGGGAACGTACTGAAAGCTGGTGGGGGATGGCACTTGCTGGAGGAACCCCGTACAGGCCGCTGAGATGTGAAGAGTGACTCTGAAAGTGAAGCAGACCAATCAGATTGCACAAGTCACACACATTCATATACACAGACACATTTAAAACTCTTATTAAGGGGAATTCTGCCGGGGCATAAACTCCTAGTGAATCACACACTAACTTTGTTTTCTATGAAGCACGCAAAGACATTCTCGCACACTGGCTCACACCACTTTGGCTCGGGCGATGAGTGGAGACTTTGTTTAACAGACAAACTGACTCATCTCTGGAGAAGACAGGGGAATTCTGTGTGTTTCAAACTGTGTACACCAGTGTGCAGGAAGACCTGAGTCAACACTGTATTGTGTTTTTTTTTCCTAAAAGCACTTCAGGGGGAGCCGGGTTTACCGTGTGCTGAAAACAAATTGCTTTATCGAGTCAAAGCTGATCCCTTCAGGAGAAGCGCATTGCTATGCCGGGTGGGTTGAAGTCACTTAACAGTGTGCACACAAGCCGTTCTTTTGCTTAGCGGGAATGCTAAAGAAGGAGTGCACTCACGAAGAATGGGTTGTATCCTGCTGGTGCCACAGGGGGCACTCCACCGCGTGGTCCAGCAGCATGGGGCATCATCGGCAGACCAGACGAGAAGATGCCCAGAGCGTTAAGGTTCAGGCCCGGGATCAGGTTGGCCTGTTGCTATGCCAAAGAATAGAGGCAAAAGTTAAGACACGATTTGAAAACTGCAAGAATAAAGATGTAGTTCAGGATTTAATGAGGGCTCACAATTTCTATTTTTCATTTATTTTAACTGAAAATTTGATTTGTCTTTAACACTCAGACATTCAAAAACACACTGATTCTTTTTAATGGGTGAAAATAGAGACAAATCATTTAAGTTCTACAAGATGAACAAAGAAATGTGTAAAGGAAAAAAAAACAGATTTAAAATTAAATTATTTCAAATAAGACAGAAAAAGGTCATTTTGTTTATTTTTTCTAATCCATATATACCAAAAGTCACTTGCTCACAGAGGCTTTTATCAGCATGAACAGATTAGCAAATAAATGGAGGCTTTTTCTGAGGTTTTCACATGCTGAAAGCTATTTGCCCAAAACAATTACAGTAATTATATGTCAGCAGGAAATAACAACACAAATGTGTGTCACTCTGTCCTGCAATATGTATGAACTCAGAAACAGTTCTGATTGATGATTTATAATTACCAAAGAAAGATTTTCTGTTAAGATAAGTTGATGCACTGAATAAAAAACTCACAGAGTCGTTGAAAAGGATTTTAAAAACTGTTGGACTGTTGCTCTTTTAAATGTTCCTTTACTAAATCAAATCAGTTCTATTGAAGAAGAACATTTAAAAACAACCAGAGTTGGCTAAAATGCTGTACAATAATAAAATATACAAAGCACCTCACACGACTACTAACACTAAATCCATTACATTAAAATGTGACTCTAAAGTGGATTTAGTAACTCCACAGTGAGAAATTAAATCTTCAAATTGTATAATTCTAAAGTTACGATGAAGCTTAAGGTGATTGAATGATGGAGAAAATCCCCGTCTTCTTTAGCTGAACACAACCCCCAGAAAACATATCTGGTAAAAAGCATTGTCACAATGATGGAAACAGGAAGTTTTTTCCTTTCTCCAGAGAAATAGATGTTTCTATAGACAAGTTCATGACGGACACAATAATCTCTTTCATTCCAGTAATCTGTTGTGGCTTCATAAGCGTGAAGCGAGACACCATCTCTTTCCGCTTCCTTGTTGCACAGAAAGCTTTGTGTAATATCCTCAGTGTCACGCTAGATGGCCCTCACTGCTTACAGTGGAGCTGACGATCAGGCCCGACAGGTGCCAGATCTGCTCGCACCAGCCGGTACAATTTAACCACATGCTGGGTGATGCTTCCTGATGATTATTTCATCAGCCAATAATTGGGGCGGTCAAAACGAGGGGAAAAGCCTGGGCAGCTCATGAGAAAGCTGCGAAAGAAAATGGGATTGTGATCCTCTCCACAAAGTTACATCCTCCCAGCCAACACAATCACTTTATCTGCATCCATCTTCATATTACTGCAACGCACTGGGGAGCGTGCAGCGTGTGATATCATCAGTGTCTCTCTTCCTCTAAGGCTGACCTCTCGGTCTGCAGCATAGGTGATGTCACTGGTGGAGCGTGAAAGAGGAGCTGGGTGAGAGAGAGCGGCCTACAGATATCAGATGGATGCTGGTAAACGCAGTGTGGTACAGCGGGAACACAGACACACACAGCAGGGGGAGTGGGTGTGAGTCAGAGAGACACAAACACACACCTCGACTCACTAATGAGCTATGAGCTATGGTTTACTGTGATCCATTTACCAAGCAGACAGTATTACTAATGCCGCTGGTAAGACACTGAAGAAGGAGGCAATGCTATCCTGCTGTATATCATCACATCTCTCTGTTGTTCACCTGTCAGCCTGTGTGAGTCAACCTGAGATCATAACCACAAACACACACACACACACACATGCTGCAGATGGTAACCCCCGAGCTCGGCTTACGTTCATAGCAGCAATGTCGTTCTCGTGGGCTTCCCTCAGTTTCTTCATGATCGCTGCCTCGGCTTTACAACACGCCTCCAAGCTGCCCTTCACGGTGATGGTCCTTTCAGGGTTGCAAATGGTTAAGTCTTGTAACCTGCAGGGAGATCACACACACACACACACACACACACACACACACACACACACACACACACACACACACACACACACACACACACACACACACACACACACACACACACACACACACAGGCAGATACTGTAACTTTGTGCATACGGTGATACATGCAAACTCATATTCTGGTGGATATGTCCAGGCTCATTTGAATTGGCATTTCCTGGCTCTGTGTTAAGTGTTATTGAAGTCTTCATCATCAATAACATGACATTACATTTCTCATTAAAGCTAACTAGCAATTCACTTCTGTGTTTCCATTCATCTGGAAGAAAACAAAGATTTTAAAAGTACAAATGTCAAAACCAACGTGGTAGAGGCTTGAGAAGTCTGAGTTTCAAGTTATCAAGTTAATTAAATGTTGTTTTTAAACAGCATAAAAAGTCAATATCCAACATTCACACAGTTTGTGAGGGGTTGTTGTGATGGAAAGATGATTGCTTGCAAGATTTCCAACCAAAAATCTCAACCAAAGCTACCTCTTCATTCCTTTTGAATTGGACAGACAGATTCAAGGTTCAAGGTTCAAGGTTAACCTAATATCCCCGAGGGGCAATCATTATTTTGCTTCTTTTTATTTGTCAGAGGATTTGATTTACTGATTCAAGTCGGGTTGTAGAGGGAATCTCAACAAGCAGAAGACAAAAATGTGGGTCAACAGGTGGGTCAGGTTTGCACTTTTGCTTTTGTTTTGTGTGTTTTTGTGTTTTAATTTCTCAGAGTTGTTTCTGTTCTCTTTCAACATGCATGTATAATTTTTATATTCTGTATTTTTTCAGTTGGTGTCTTTTTTATTCCCTTATTAATGCAAATATTTTGATTATCTTAGAAAATAAAAATTGGATCACAAAGAACATTTATGAAAGATCTGGCCTAACTGAGCTGTAATGACTAAAACATACATGACTACTCAAGATGGTTGCATTATTATACAACATAAAAATGCTTTCAATAAAAAACACTGTTAAATGTGGATTTCAATACATGAAACAACAGCCGTGGCATCTTTGTTTGCTTTATTATCAGACAGTTCTGTTCATATAGGGCGTAGCATTCATGAAAACTTTTCCAAGTATTAAATGACTTTGATACTGACATAAAAGCTATTGATGAGCCATGATGGTAGCAGTACTGTAAGGAAAGAAGAGCCGCAGTAAACCCTTCCTGCTTTGGAAAAAACAACATCTTCTGAACTCTCTGCCTCCAGTTTGCATTTCATTCTTTAAGTTTTTGTATTTCAGAAAAGTCTCCTTCAAACATGTCCCTTAACTTTATTACTGACTGAGTACTCCTCATGAGGAGAGGAAAGTCGTCTTTATGTGTAAAATCAGTGGAGGGATTCTTTAACCCTCTATTTTGTATCACACAAGGTCAGAATGTGAATTTCATCATCAGTGACATGTGTGTACAGATTAAATTAATTCATCCATCCTCCGCTTATTAAGGGAGCAACTGCTGTGAAAATGCATTAGTGTGAAAGATTTAGCAGCAAAGATATTTAGCTTGATTTCATAATTCTGTGCCACAGCCCTATCACAACTCAATCTGTCAAGATTATACCACAGTTAATCTCAGTTAGGTCACGGGAAGGGAGAAATGTTCTGACAGTTTTGTCCCAAAGCATTGATTTTGCAACGCAACTTGGATCTGGTACAGTGTCCTCCACATCCTCTGTTTGCTGAGTTTGAGTTTTCTGCCTTCAGGCAGGAGAGACAGATTGCCAAAAGCCAAATGCAACAGGTTAAAACAATTATTTTATTACTCAGGCCATCAAGCTTCTGAACTCCAATGATGACCCTGATGACTGATAATGGGTGTTTTTATTTTGGTTTTGATGATGTTTTTTGGATGTTTTTATACATTCTCAGTTTCCTGTTGTTACCTGATGAACTCTTGTATTTATGTATTTAATGTTGTTCACTGTGTTTGTTATTTCTATTGTCTGAGTCTATGTGCCTGTGTGTTCTAAATGTTTTTTTTCCTTCATATTGTTCTCACCTGGCTGAGAAACAAATTTCCCCTCGGGACAATAAAGCTGAAAGTTGAAAAAAATGTGAAGTTGGTACCATGAAAAAAAACTTGACTAATATTATTTTTTTACAGCAGGTGAGCTGACAGTGACAACAACACAGCACTCACAGTAAATCTTTCTTTAACTCTGTTTATTATTACATGAATGGAAGAAGGGTTTTACCCCATTGTAAAAAACAACTCTCAGCCTTTGAGGCATCATGATGCATCCTCTCCTCTGTGTCTGCAGACGTACTGTAGAGGACACTCATATAACCACAAATATCGATTGGACTGTCTGTCTCTTTTCAAAAAGGACCCCCTTCTTCTTCTTCTGTTGCCGTCTCTATCTCAGGACTCATTACATCTTCTTTGGAGCTCACGCAGACGGAGCAATTCATTAACCTAAATGAACGAAGGTTGCTGAGCACGCTCCGTTAAATGGGGTGTAGCCGCCACCTCTCTAATATCATGTTCTGGAGTGAAGGAGCTGTAATCGACTCTTCACGTTTGCTCTCTTACAATTCAGTTAAGTGAAGCCACATGCTGGGAGGCTAATGAGAGAGAGGTGTGGCAATGAGAAGTTAAAATCACCGTCTGTTATCCAGGCACTCGTTTAAAAAATTTACATGAAAATGTCCTTCAAAGTATAATTTCTGCTGTTCACAATCACACAAGCTCTCAATCCTGTGTGTTCCTGGAGCTGACAGCACAGCTACTAACTTAACTGTGTGTGTGTGTGTGTGTGTGTGTGTGTGTGTGTGTGTGTGTGTGTGTGTGAGAAAGAGTAGTGTGAGAGAGGCCACTTACGAGGAGATGGTTATCTTGGTCCCTGTCTCCTCCTCGATCTTCTTCAGGTTGCGGCCCTCCTTCCCGATCAGCCGGCCCACCAGGCTGTTGTTGGCGAGGATTTTTAGAGCAATCTCCTCAGTTCTACGCACACAACAAAAGCACACACACACAGACACACACAGACACACACGTGGGTTAGGCGAAATACCAGGAGAGAGTCACACATGGGGTGTAAGGATTTTTTTGGATGTTATAAGGCTGACAAATTGATCATGATAGAATAGTATTGAAAAGTACCATAGCTTTGAAAAAAACTTCAGGTCACCAGTCATATTTTTCAACAAAAGCTGCCGCAAACGAAAGAGAGAGAGAGAGACAGAGACCTTTCTAAATTGCACAAATACATTGGCAACATTTAATTCACGGCCGCACGAGTATAATTGCTGACCTTTTTATATCTGTATATTATCACAGAGAGAGAGAGAGAGGGAGTGAGAGAGAAATCCACTGGTATGTCTTTCCAGTAAATCCACAGATTCAGGTGTGACGCATCTTGTTAAAACTGAAATGCTTTCACACTTTCACACAACTGTCTTGCACTAGTTCACGATGTTTGTTGTGAAGCGCGTCATCGTCAAGCCTCCACACACGCAGATTATATGATGAATATCCAGTAAAACGCGGCTTTATCATCCTGCTAAATGAATATTGTCAAAAAGAGCAGAAACACAAACAAATAAAGGCACCTAATGAGGCTTGTGGGAGGAGCCGCTGTGAGAAGGTGAAGGTGTGTATGAGTGTTTATATGTGTGTGTGTGTGTGTGTGTGTGTGTGTGTGCATAAATGTGTGAGTGTGTGTGTAGATAAGAGAATGAAGAGGATGGAAGAGAAGTAAGATTGAGTCGGACAAGGTTGAGTACCGAGTACCTCATTTTCACAGATAAGAGTTTGTATTCTTCCTCTGAGTATTGTGTTTGGTTATTTATAAAAATGTTCAGGAGGAAAAACAAATTGTCCAAGCTGAATTATTTGGTTGAAGTGGAAAGAGAGTCCAATTTTCTTTTGTACTGGGAAAATAATGATGATTTGAGAGAGTTCTTTTCTCATGAAATTGCTCGGCACACAAAGAGGGTGAACTATGAAATCGTCTGCTGTACAGATCTGCAAACATTAAAATACTTAATTAAAATAAATAAATTAAAATACTGGATGTGAACTCCAAACTGAAAGTCAAAGAAGGGCAAGATGAACTATTAAACAAATATTTAATCTAGGTGTGTCTAGTCTGGTTTAGTAATGAAATAAAATAAGAAACCTTATTAACTTTTTAGAATGAAGATATACATTTTATAACAAATATACATTTTCATATTAAGGCAAACCTCTGCCTTTAGGTTTTCAGATTGAGATGAGTTGTTGCAGCGGGGTGGGGGTGGGGGGGGATCATTTTCTCTGACCTATATTTCTATGGGGGACAATTGTGTGGTATAAATGGGATTAAAGAGTTGGGGTGGAGGATGAATCTGATGCTTAAACTGGGGGTTTCTTATGGGCTGGGTCACACTTTGGAGGTTGTTCCTGTGTGTTTATTTGTGTATAATTTCAGGGGAGGAGTGTTGGGGCATGTAAAAAGTGTTGATAGTTACTGTAAGGTGAAATTAGTTTGTGGTGCACTTAGGTGCAGAGAGGGTGGAGATGACAGTGTTGTGAGGTAAAAGGGTATAAAGTGGTCAGGGTCTCAAAGGGTGTGGGGCCTCCTCAGACCCAGTGAATAACAGCAGGGATGTGAAGAGGATTGGCAGGGGCCCGAATTCACAAACAGGCATTTGATAAGTGAGGGTAGTTCACAGTAGAACATTTTTAATTGCAACATTATGTACATGATATAATGTAAGACAATAAATCCAAAAGAGAGATGATTATAAGGTATACAGGTCTAGATTACTACTTATCACTACTCATGTGTTCAGATATGTGTCATGAGGTTTTTCAGGGCTAAAACTAGATATAATGGGGGGCAGGGGGATTCTTCCACAGGATTAGTTTTTTTGATTTTATTTTTTTGCACTCTGCAAAATGTATTATCATTATTATTATCATTATTGACATTTTTAGATACAGTTTATGTGATTTAATTCTAAACGGTTCTCATCTTATCTTCACTGTGTGTCTGCCATACAGTTTATTGATCTGTTATTAAATCTAGCTAACTACAACATGGTGAGTTGTGAAGACTTTGTGAGGCTTTTTCGGGGACACATTCATGTCTTGCGATTCATTTATCTTTAATAAAGCAATGCAAATGATTTACTTCAAAGCAGCAGCGAAATGTATCACACTGAATTGGCTTTTTCCATCTTTTTTTTTCTTTGTAGTTGTCGTTTTTTTTTTTTGTTGTTGTTTTTATGCTATTTCTTTCTTCTGTACTGTGCCAAAAATTGAAATAAAAAATAAGTTGAAAAAAGATAAAACAATCCAGGATCTAGCACTTGTACCACCTAAAACCCCGAGTGTGTGCTTACATATAATCAGTGGTGATGTACAAAATACAAAAAGTATTAAGTGTAAAAATGGGTGCTGGTGATGAGATTTAGCAGGGGCTCAAATAGTTTGAATGGTGCAGTGACTTGTTAAAACTGTCAAGTTCAATTAGACGTGTTGGCCTTGTTTCCCAAATGCTAAGCTGCAATCACATGTTAGCCTACGTGAGTGCGTTACAGACAGTATGTGCACTGTGTTCACTGTGTTAGTGGTCCACGCCAGAGAATACACAGTGAGATTAAAAGGTGTGCAGCTAGGTTAAAGGATGAGATTACAGCCCTGCAGACGTTATGGCTAATCTCCCCGCAGGACTGTATGCACGTCCCGAGTGTGTGCATGTGAATGTCTGCGAAACGCCAAGGTGGGGGGACTCACGCCTTGGTCTCGTTGGCCTCCTTTTGCATGATTTCCATGATCATACGACAGGCGGAGGAGCAGCCCTCGGGGGTCGAGTGGATGGTGATGGGCTTTTCTGCTGCACCTGCATTTTCCTTCCGATGAATGTCCACCCTGAAGGAAAAAGAGACAGAAGCATTCACAGTTATCAAGACAATAAGAAGGACAATGACGGGGTGAAAGAAGAAAGAAAATCTAGCTTTGTTGCACAAAAACTCATAATAAGGTTTACTATTACTCACAGAGAAAAAAAGTTATTACATTTATTTTTCTTATGAGGCAGCAGTAAACATGCCATATTTCAGCCATAATTAACCAGAGCTTGTTATCTACAAATTTGACAATTTAAAGCTTTTATTATATCTATATATATCTCAAATAATAAGTTGTTAATAAGGCACACGCCTTGTTTCAGTACTAATATTCTCAATAAATGTCTGAAAAGTCCAGACAGCCAGGAAAGAAACAGAAAAATTAAGCAGAAACTACACAAGATCCAAAGTCATCATCTCCACGGTCACCACTTACTTTGACTGTGTCTGTTTGGTGACATTCTTGATGGTGAGGCCCCCCTTGCCGATGATGGCTCCCACATATTGAGTAGGCACGAGAATGCGCAGGGGGAAGTCGTATTGTCTGCTGCGTGGAGGGCAAAACTCTCCAGACGACCCAGGCTCAGGGGGGCCCTGGTCCCGGGACGACCGACGCACGCGTCGCGGGCGAGGAGCCTGGTCGGGTGGAGCGGCGTCCATGTCCGCAATATATGACACCTTGAAGGAGTAGTCCTCGAACTGATGTCCTGTTAACTTCTCGATGGCTCTGCAGGGAGGAGCAGGAAGATGAGACAATCAAGTTTTAATTACAGACAGTATATCATTTGGAGTCACCAAACCTTCAGTCCGAGTACGAGTCACCCACAAAAATAATTTAGTCAAGTCTGTGTTGAGTCGCCATTTCCTGAGTCTGAGTCCTCATAATTGAGTCTGAGCTGCTCCAAGATAATCTTTAGCTATTTTTTGCAGATCTGTACAGCAGACGATTTCAGAGTTCACCCTCTTTGTGTGCCGAGCGATTTCATGAGAAAAGAACTCTCTCAAATCATCATTATTTTCCCAGTACAAAAGAAAATTGGACTCTCTTTCCACTTCAACCAAATAATTCAGCTTGAACAAATTCTTTTCCTCCTGAACATTTTTATAAATAACCAAACACAATACTCAGAGGAAGAATACAAACTCTTATCTGTGGCATTCAATATCTTTGGCTTCTCTATGAAAATGAGGTACTTGGTACTCAACCTTCTCCGACTCAAGCAGCAACAGGACAAAAAAATACTTTAGCAAGAGCCAGAATCTGAAAACATGCATTTCTTACCTAAAAACACATTCATGCAGAGCTCATATGTCTGTTAAACGTTTAATTTAATGTAATGCTGCCCATGGAGGGGAGAGAGAGAAAGTCCAATTTCTACTCACGCTCTCATTGACTAAAGAAGCCAAGGAGCAGTGAATGGAAGGTCTGGATTGGTCAAATGAGGTGTAGATCAAAAGGTCAGAGTTCATGAATGAGTGCAGAGAAAACGGCTGAACAGACCGGAATTTTTGAATCAATCTGTGGATTTTTATGGATGTAATGTGTTCAAATTAAAAATGTTACCGGATATGAATCATAAGGACCATTGCAGCAGGGCTGTTTTTTTAATTTATTTTTTTATATAATGACTGGAGGAGTAGCCTAGCCTACAGTAGATCTTCAAACAGATAAAACAAATAAAACAGAAAGAAAGTGTGTTTGTCCATGGTCTGACAGATTACTTAGATTGTGGCTGCTGTGCTGGTTGGATCTTGAAATGGTCACACATGGTCAGAGTCACAAGAACCGAAGCTTTTTAGCGATGTAGCTTCTATACAGGGAATTGTTTACATGACGGTGATAATGCAAAAACACAGAGACGGCCCCGCAGGTCAGGGGAGGTGATAAATGAAAGAAGTTTCTATTATTTTTAGATATTCAACACAAACAAGTCTGGGTCACTAGTCCTGAAAATCCTGGCTTGAGTCAGACACAAGAATGAGTCCTTGACTCAAGTAGGCTACTACAACACTGCCCCTCTGGTAGGTATTATGTTTTAGATTTTTAAAAGCTGTAGGATTTACTGATAACTAGGGGTGAAAGTAGTTTTGAATTCTTGCCGATAACCGTCACTACTACCTCAACCTTCATCGCTTCATCACTTCTTGTTGTTCACCTCAAACACATTTTCACTGTACTGTATTTAAGAAGTAAAGACAGACGTGCATGTGCAGTCTCCTACCACTGACATGAGTTAAAGAGCGATCCCTGATCGTCACCTCTCACACAGCTTGTCTGAGCTGCTATGTGTTATTGAAATAAGACAGATTATGATGAACCATCACAACTTATTCTGCTAAACATTTTACCTAACAGATTTTGTAATACGAGTCTGCCTGCCAAAAGCCAGCAGCACTGGATATCAGTCAGCTGCAGCACACCGGCAGAAGCTCATGCTCACGTTAACTGGTAGTAATGAAAGGCAGCTGGGCTACGTCCAGCACGGATCAAAACACAGCATGGACGTTTCAGAAGCAATTTGGAAAGACTTAGAGGCAATTAATAAGGAGACAAAGTGCTTTTTAAAGATTATATAACATTAGCAAATGTGTTTCCTTGCTTAAAGTGTAACCATGAATGGTTTTGAAAGAGGGGGGCAGGCGGCAGCTCACTCCTCTTTCCAGTGCTGCGTTTACCTCCACTGAATGTTCCAGTGGGACACAGTACTGGGACCATACTGGCCTACTCTCACCCCTGCTGATAACCCTATGGATCTCTCATCTATGGATGATATGATTGAAATCTTTGTTGTGAAGCGGTGGACACAGGGTCTTGAATCTCTGAATATTGGAGATTAATAAAAGTGTGTCCTGGTTACAGTAAACCAAACCCGACTCCCTTAATAAAATCTGGAATATCAGGAGGTAGCAAAAATGCCAAGGAATGTCCTAATGGTTGTTCTCTGTGATTTTGAAATCTTTGTTTTAGGGATTTTTGAATTTTCTATTTTAATATTTCTTTTTTTTTCCTCTGTCATGATGCTTTTGTCTGTTGAAATGTGCTATAGAAATAAACTTGCCTTGCCTTGAAGCCTGGCTCAGTTTAAAGAAACACGTAATTAAAACTAACGTGAATTTAGAAACAATCCAAGCTAAGATTAGTTGCTGTTTGCTTGCAGCCCCTCCTATCAGATTTTTAACATGAAACTGTTCTATTTTGTGTTTCCACTGGTTTATTATACCTTTAAATAAAATAATAAAAAGAAGCCAATAAAAGTTGATAGGAAAATCCAGAATGGGGACATTCGCTAGCTTTCACTAAAGTTACACTTTTAGCTAGCTAATTCAAAAACCAGCTCCTCAAACATTAGCAGCAGCTTGGCTTGCTAGCTTTGTTAAATTAGATCTCATGGAGCAGAATACTTGCTTCTTTGCTGTAACAGAGAAATGGAAAGTTCTTCTCTTGTCGAGCTAATTAACTATGCTATGTAATTGGGGAATTGACTGGCATACCTGACAATCCAGCACTGCATGTAAGGCTCTATTGTAGGCAATTATTTTTGGTATTTGTACCAGAACAACAAAAAGGACTTCATAAACATTTGCTGAATTATGTAGTAACCTTTGTTGGCTGTTTATTTAGCCTCACAATGTGCAAACTTTTGAGTTTCAGCCAGATAGTCTAGTTTAGACTATGATCTGAACCTTGTGGATATACTTTCTAATCCTCCAGCAACAGGTTTCACAGGTTTCACAGGTTTCACAGGTGAAGTATGTGTCCAAAGCAGTTAGAGGTGTAGCTGCTTGTTCAAGTAGTTAAAACACAGGTACATCCCATATTTTTCGGGATACTTACGCTTTAGCTTCCTCCTTGTTTGAGTATGTAACATTCACCACCGCTGTTTCTGTATCAGTGTTCACTGTAAAGAGAGAAAGGCAGAGGAAGATGAGAAAGAGTCAACACATTTGTGCATGCACATGGCAGGTCTTTGCTGTTGCCGTAGGTGAGTCAGACACACGTCCAGGTTCCCGTGGTGACCCAGAGAGCCACTTGTCTGTATGAATCCATTACAGCCATTACTGCACTGGCTTCCCTCCATACCCCACTGCTGCCTCTACAGACAGGAGATGCAAAACACAATAAAGCCTCTTCACCACTTGTACAATAATGGACTTAAGTTTGACCAACAATTAAATAATCGTATACCTCCTTTTTATAAACTTGTCTTTGTCTGTAATGTTAAGTTGCATTTATGTGTTGTTTCATTAGTAGTTCACACCACCTGTGTTCTAACCTTATTTACAAATCTCTGCTCTAGCTTGGATCCATATGATGAAAGTATCAAACTTTTTTACTTTACTTTTTTTTTAACTTTGTATGTGTAAATGTAGGGTTAGGTTAGGTTAGGTGGATAGGGAAAAAGTTAGAGAAACAAAAATCAACATGTCTTTTTGATGATTTGCCTCCTGCTCTACAACAGCATCTCTGTTTTGTCACCGATGGATCTCTGTGTAACCGCTAAATGTCAAACTTATGAATCAACAAGGAAGCCGCTGCCCTTTGATTTTGGGGACTTAAGCGTAAGCCTGCTCAGCAAACATCCTCTGCAGATGCTTTTGATAGTTTAAAAAAAGAGAGCTGATAAACTCCAGCTAAAACAAAATGAAAATTACAGAAATAAATGATCTGTCGCCAGTATAACTACAGAAATAGTCAAATAAAAATTCAGTGGCATTCTTCCCCCTTGGAGCTTTTTTTTTATTTTTTATTTTTTATAGTGCAAGACATTTTTTTTTAAATAATGGCATCAAGAGTGTCTTTGGCTGTTGCAGCTGGTTTGGAAGGGTTAAAAGCTGTGCAAGCGCCCAGCTGGCTCAGAGAGAGAAAGTGGGCAGAGCCTGGCCCGATGCCCTGTGATCACAGCCAGCTCTGCCCCGCCTCGCCCTGCCCTGCCACTGGCAGCCTCCAGCATGCCACACATGAACACAAGAGTCCTCTAAAACTTCATCCCGTAACCAGAGCCTCCGGACACAGGCAGCAAAAAAGTGACAGAAAATTTGAAAGAGCAAGGTGTCTCTGTGGGAAGCTCTGAAAACGACTTTGACTTTGGGAGAAGGATAACGAAGAAGAAGAAATTCTGCACTGTTTTTTTTGGGTACTATGGATTAATCGTGCTGTTTTACTGCGTCCAGAAAACTCTGTGTGGAGGAATTTCTCAGCTGGGGTTCTCCTTTAGCCCCTGACTCCAATGGGTGGTAGTTTGTCCCTCAGAGAGACACATTGTGCATGACTGTTTGTTTCTCTTTGCATGTGCAGGTTTTCTACTTGTTCATGTGTTTGTAGCTAACTTGTGTTGGCTATACAGAGAATCTGCTTCAAACGGCCAACACATCAGACAATGGAAAAGCCTCACCACAGGAGCCTGCTTGTGCTCTGTCCCGGTACCAAGATGCACCTCCCTGATATACGACGCAGAACACACACAAAATGTCACACTACTATGGATGGCTGCCATGTCTGACCACTTCAATCCATATGCTCAGGCCGAGAGGGGGCGGGGGGGGGGGGGGGAGTGCTGATTATAGAGGCTGCATGTTGTTCAAATGCTTCTCTCTATGGGTCAAACTTGTGAGCCACACGTGTACGCACACACTCCCAGGAGATGATTAAGTGTGACTTATATGCAGAGATGGGTTATGTTTAGATAATGAGTGTGCGGGATGATGATGGCAAAAAGGAAGTCAAGTCACACAGGGCGACCTGACTCACTGGGAGGTCCCCATGCGTGCGTTGCTAAATGGACACACGTGCAGTGGGAGGCAGACTATGACGATGTGATGTGATGTGATGTGAGTGAGTGAGGAAGAGAATTATGTACCTTGTTCCACATTTTCTACAGTACCATACTGAGCTAGAAGGCCATCCAAAACCTGAGGGAGAGATGAGAGCAGGAGTCAAAGACACAACTGATGCAACAAGACACACAAACACATGGATGCACAAACACACACAAGCTGAGTTCTGATGCTGCTTCTGATAATGTGGGTCAGAGTTCAAGTGACACTCGGGCAAGTGGAGAGGGGAATTAGAATTCGGGAATCTAATAATTTTTCTGTTTAAAGAGTGTTTTGTTAATGTACATAAATCAAGAATCTAAATCTGAACATTTTGGGTATTCCTAAAAAATCATTGAGAGGCTGATAAACAGAGGTGATTAAAAATTTGATTTCTGGACCGAGAGCAGCGATGTTAAAACATTTTTTTCTTAATGGTCCGAGGAGTTTTGTGAGTATTCTAGGAGCTTCCTATAAATAGGCTACACAGCAAAACCCAAGAGGAATAGCAGTGTCGGCAGGCTGGAAGAAGAGAGAGAAGCTCACACCGAGAAAAACAACTTGGACCCCACTGAGGTTACAGATGTTGACACACAGACACAGTGTCATCCGAAACAGCAACAAACACCAACGCAGAAACACACACACACACACACACACACACATAGACAGCGCAGACACACACATAAACACATGCACATAAACCCTTCGGTCTACAGAGAAATACAGTGTAAAACTGGTGACTCATTGTCGGGAAGCTGGTTTATGTGCTACCTGGTGCTTCAGCTGGGTATCAACTGTCTTATATACTCACACACACTCGCACACTTACACACACACACAAAGACAAACAACTGACCTCCCACTGTAGATGAGGGGGAATGTTCCGGATCTGGATCTTCCGACTCCTGCAGAGATGAGAGACACAGACAGGGTGGATTTAACAAACTTGAACCACACACGCACATACACACACACACACACTTGAGAGTTACAGTGTGTTTACATGAGCTTTAAACCTCACTCTCGTATACGATATATTCAGGACATTTCGCCTTCACAGCTGACAGAAGATGTTTGAATGAAAAGGGCAGGAATGCAGCGTCAGATCAGCGCTGAATCTAATTGAACATTCAGTGTCGTCTTAACTTCCCACATCGCCCTCGGATCGTTAAGACAGCAGGAGAACTGAACTAGCCGGCGTAGAGCAGAAGGAAGCGCCTGTGTGTAGGTGAGCACGTTTATTAGACAGCAGATAGTGGCTCTCAGTAACAGCATCCTACGAGTGCTATTCTTACTATACTCCCACCGTGACACCAGAAGTGATGTGAAAAGACGAGAATAAGCTGGTTTGATTTACAACTGCGTCAAATTAAAAACAGCAGGAGGAGCAATCAGGCATGCAAAAGACATACCTATAGCTATTGATCGACTGTTGGGCTGTCGATAGATATAATTTTATCTAAGTGCACTTGCTAAAAATAGGCATTCACCATTTTTAGCCGATACATACAGTTATGCCAACTGAAGATGGCACGCTAGAGATCAACAACTGACTGAACCCTGTTAATGTTTGTTACACCTAATTATTTAAGTTAAAGATTTTTTTATATATCCTTTCTACTGATATATGCACTGAGTTTATTTGTAATATAACTTTTTTTGTTTTTGTATGAGGACTGAAAATTGCTTCCTACCGAGGTGGGATTCAAGGATGCAGTCGTCTTTTTATAAGATCATCTTTATATGTGAAAGAAGGATCAATTATAAGCTATTATAATTATAATTATAATAGCTTCTTTTTTCTTTTTTTAATCTGTTCCATTGAATTGATGCTGACTTCAATACATAAGAGCTTAAAAGGCGAAATGTAATGAAGGCCTGAATGACATGACTGACGATGTTCAAACATGTTTTAAAATGTGTGATTTCATGTTGTCAAGCGCAGACGGGGGGAATCAAAAACAACAAAATTATTATAAGCAACATCAGTTAGTTTCAGGAAAACATTGGTATGGACTATATTATTATTTTCAACATTGTAATAAATGTAACGGCGCTGATTTTCTCAACCGGTGCATCCTAATAGCAGTCAAAGCATGATCAGGTGTATTTGTGAAAGTTTGGACAAAAAAGTCAAATGAATAATTAAAATAATAATAATAATTAAAAAACAAGGTTTTTTATATTTAAAAAAATGTGTTTATTTATTTCTTGACCATGTTTGATTTTTTCGTTCAATTCAATTGGTGTCCTCACTGATGTAGCACGTCTTTGAAAGTGATTTGTGAGTAACTTAAAATCAACTTGAAATTGTCACAATGACAAAATATTTTGGGTTCTTTTTTGGAAGCTCTGTCCGTAACAGAGGCAGAAGTACTCCAACTTGACAGTGTGCCCCTCTAACCCGATAGTTTAGTGATCCAGAGCTTCCACACAGCCTCTCTTTCTGTCTCCAGAGAGCGTGTCAGCTCAAACAGCAAAGCCACACCGACCGCCCGGCGACCACAAGCTGTTAACAACTACATTAACGTGAGAGTCCAGCTCTGCAACAAGAGCCGCTGATTTACTACCTTTACAACGCCGAGAAGCTGGTGGAGGGAATGCCACACAGCTGAGCATCCGTATCCCCGAAAAATAATCTTGAAAGCAATTCAAGTCGACAGGAGCGAGAGTGGAGGACATAAAGCAGAGAATGACATGATAATCAGGGGGGCGGGTTCACAAGGATCCCCATTCTCTCACACACAAACATAGGGTTTCTATGTCTACTTTTTACATCTTTTTCTCTGAACACATAAGAGTGTGAAGTCCTACAAGTCAGAAATTCTTGTGAGCTATAAGTAGAGGAGTGATCGGGCAGCTGGACATGAATGAATGAATGAATGAATGATTCTCTGATTCTACTGCTGGAGAGAGAAAAAACAAAAAGAAAAAATAGTAAAAAAAAAAAAACACAGCATCACACAGACTTGGGAAGGCACTCTTCTCCTCATTCAGCCAACTGAATTGTATCCACTTTTGTTGTTAGACTGATGGGGTTCATTTACTGGATTGCTTTTATTATAAAGACAAACAA